TAAATTATTCAAGTAGAGTTTGAGCTCAATTTTAGGTTCTAAAATATTTTTGAGCTTAACTTAGAGTAGTGATTGGGCAAAACCCCCAAATCCACTTCTCAAGTAAGAGGACAAGGATAGATCCATCTCTAAAAAAAAAATGTAGAGTTAAATCATCTTTTTAAATTATAAATTAAAACAAATCATTTATTTTTTAACTATGATGTCAACTTTCTATTAAAAAATGCTTTAGTGACAAACAAAATTTTGACATCACATATTAAAAAACAAGTGGTTTGTCTTTATTTATAATTTTAAAAAGTTATTTATCTCTACTTTTTTTTTAAGAATGGATTTAAAGGTTTTGTCGTACGATTGGATCCCTAAGAGCTAGAGCTAGAGCTTGCATTTAATAAAAGAATTATTTTTAATTTTTTTTATATATTTAAGGTTTTTCTAATTTATGCATAGGTTAAGTAAATAATTAATACATCTTTTTGTCATTAAGTTACATAAAAAGAATAAAGTTTGATTTTAATTTTAATAATTAACTAATTAAATTTAGACACATAGCATTGATGTTAAAACTAATATTAATTTTTGTTTTTGTTTTTCTATATAAATTAATGGTTAAAAGATGTATTAATTGCACCTATAACATGGCATAGGTTAGAAAAATCTTATATTTTATTACAAAGAAGTGATTTTCAGGTGAACCTATATCAAAAAGTGTAAGAAGGCTTGTGAAATAATTTAAATATTTTGAATCAATTATCCTTTTGTATTGATTCATTAAAGGATTCTTAATTAATTTCATAAGTATTTAAGGGGTGGGTGGAAAAATTTGCAACGCAAAAAAATCTAAAGTCGATTAAAACCATAACTGATGAATAGGATTTGGTGAGGATTTAGATTTTTTTTTACTAAGAACTAAATTGAATTGATTTCAAATGGTTTGAATTTTGATTGCTTTGTTTAAAACAAAAAATTGATAATTAGAGCAAGTATAACTTAAAATTTTGGTCCAAAAGCTTTTTATATAAATTTTTTAATAATTTCTAGATTTTTTTAAAATGTTTTTTCACCACTTTTCACTTAATTATTTATTTACTTGAGTAATTTTTAGTTTTTGGATAATTAAAATCAATAAAATAAAAATAAAAAAATAAAAAAGAATCATAAAAAATATAAAAATAATTTTTTGATTAAAATCTAAACCGATTCAAATGATTATTCTCGAAAATTAACCAAAACTAATAAAATTCATTTTTATCAATTTGCTTATTAATTTTTAAATTTTAATAGTTAAATTTCATCATCTAATAATTTAATTTTAGTTACAATCAAAACCAAAAACCAAACTTACTGTGTTCGTATACTTTTTTTTTCTTGCATGTCCACTTAAAAGCTGCTCAATTTAACTCATTTACGGTCTTACAGTACACAAACATGCTACAATTGTGATTTGTGAGTTTTCAAATGATTCATTACCACACAAGGTCTAGTGTTTTCGGTGTTATTGGAGTTTTTAATAAGAATTTTGTTAAAAAAAATTGTTATAAAAGTATTATTTTTATAATATAGAGAAAGGTAAAAATAAAATAAAAATAATGTATTAATTTTATTAAAATTTAAATAAAAAACTTCTGCAAAAGCATCAATTTGATATTTTTAATATTTACAATAAAATAAATAAAATACTAACTTATAAAAAATTATAACATTTTTCATAAATTATAATATTTAACACAATTAAAACTTTTAAAATTCAAAAACACTTCTTACAAACTATATCAAACATACCCCTAATATCGAAATTAAAAATTTGTAATAATTTTCCAAAAGCGTAGCGGCAGCTTAACAGCTGGGCGTCACCAGTCCCCCACGGACCCCACGTGAGTTTCAAATTTCAAACAAATAGTGTACAAGGTATCAGCGGGCATTTGAATTTGAATCTCGTAAATCGTAACGGCTAATCCCTTCTTTCCCCTCTCTTCTTTACTCTGCCACAAAGAACAACAACCCACATCCCAACAACACGTCTCCTGCCCCTCTCTCACACCCACGCCATGGCTTCACTCAATCCAGGAATTCTCCTGAAGCTCCTCCAGTCCATGAATTCTCCCACTCGGGTTACCGGCGACCACCGTTCTGCCCTCCTCCAGGTCATCGGCATTGTTCCGGCCCTCGCTGGTTCCGACCTCTGGCCAAACCAAGGATTCTATGTTCAGCTCTCCGACTCCCTTAATTCCACCTATGTCTCCCTCTCAGACCAGGACAATGACCTCATCCTTTCCAACCGCCTCCAGCTAGGCCAGTTCGTCTACGTTGATCGATTTCACTTTGACTCTCCTGTTCCACGCGTGGCCGGTATCCGTCCCATTGCTGGCCGCCACGCCTTTGTCGGGTCCCCTGACCCCCTCATTGCCCGCATTTCGTCCTCAAAAAGGGATTTCGTGATACAACCCGTATCCGAATCCGAGTACTCCGTGGATCCCATTGCCGTGTACTTGGCAAACAAGAAATCCGATCAACATGCTCCGATTGAGGATAAGGAATTGAAATTTGATGCCAAAGTCGAAAAGCCCAGGACAAGGCAGGCTCTGGCGCCGAGAGATAATGTAAAGGTTGAGAATTTGGATGAACCCAAGGGTTTAGAGAAGCCGCCGCAGAGGTTCTCATCTCCGGCTGGGACAAAACGCTCTGTTTCAGCTGGGAAGAAGAATATTGTGGCAGTGGCTGAGAGAGACCCATCTCCAGCGGGGAAAGGAAAGAGGTCCGCATCCCCAGTACCGTCAAAATGTGTGGTGCCGAGCTTAGTCGCGGCAAGGGAAGAGAACAGGAAGGTGGCAAGGGAGCCGGCAATAATCGTGCCATCAAGGTACAGGCAACCGTCTCCGAATGCGAGGAAACAGGCCTCACCAAATCCGCGCAGAGCATCAATTTCCCCAGGAAGGAGGCTGTCTGCAGGCTTAAAGTTGTCTCCGGCTGTGGGGGATTCGAAGAAGAAGATGGCAACTATTGTTGCCGGAATTTCGAAGGTCTCGGAGGCGCTGGTGGCGTCAGGGAAGGGTGGTAGGAAAAGCTGGGATGAGTCACCAGCACCGGCTTCAGGGGAACAGAAGGAGAAGTCTTCTGCAAAGAGTAAGCCAGATCTGCAAGCAATTTTGCGGACTCAGGTAAATTGTCTTATTCCTATTGGCCCCTTGAAGATTCAATTCTCAAAATTTTGAGACATAACTTTTGCAAATTTGGCTTATTTGGTGAAAATCACGTAAGCAATTTACCAAATTGTGAAAAGCATGAGACTTTCAAAAGAAAGTATGCTTTTTGTAGTTGGGTTGCGTGAAATCTGCTAGTTTTTCTAAATTTCATAGCTTTTCCTGTTGAATTTGCAAGATTCTGTTCCTCCTTGTTCCACGAATTTTGACTTTCGCTGGCTACTTTCCAGGCCGCGATGTCAAGGCGTTTGAGCGATGTTAATGGCCAAAAGGGTAGTGATGAAAATTCATCAGGCAATGAGAAAACAAAAACTAGTCCACCTGAGAGTAATTTGGCCCCTGAAAAGGCAGCATCTGGTGCTTTAGGAATCACCATCCATGATAAGAAATGGACCGATGGCAGCATCCCATGGGATGCCATTTCAACTGACCTTGCTAAGCTTGGGAAGGTATGGAGGAAATATATAAGTCAATTTATTGCATATTCTATTTGTATTTCATGTTTTCTTCAGGATTCTCTTTTGGTGTAAAAAGGTAAGGAATGTAATGTGTTTATGATATAATATGGTATAGTTTTCTAGACTGGGGCAATTGTTAGTATTTTAACTTGTTAATTTGTTTCTACAAGAAAGCACAGAGGAAATGTCAGAAAAGAAGAATTAGATGTTATCAGTTTGCTACAAGAATGAATATGTCTCCTGGCTCTGAGCTTTTGAGATTCATGGAGCACTAGGATGTTTCTATTTCGAGAGTTTCGAGAGTTAAGCATTCATGTGTTTGATATGGATATCGAAAATATATGCTCAGGTTCTTGACAACAATAGATCTTTGAACAATGATAAAACATGTCTTTGCAATTTAGATTTTTTGTTTCCTTTCTTAACGAAGGGGAAAAATAGATATAAAAGGAAAGAAAGAACTCTTTCAGGCTAAACCATGCGTGAATTAATCTCTTACGTGCTGACTGAATGCAGGAGGCTATGCAAAGGAGAGTCCTCGCCTCTACAGCTGCAGCAGAAGCATTAGAGGAGGCTCTGGCTACCGAGTCTGTTGTTAGGAGTTTAAGGTATCGAACCTTTCTCACAAGCTCATAATAGTTGTTGAAACCCTGCACACATTAATGTTATAATGTTTAGCCAATAACATTATGTGATAGACAACTTGAAGAATTGTCTTTTGAGTGAGCCTAATTTTATGTGTTCTTTACTTTCCAGCATATTTTCTGAGATCTCCACAAAATCTAAGGCTGGGAATCCTATACCTACAATCGACAGATTTTTCTCGGTTTATGATGATGTAATAAGGTATACTGGGATTGCTGAAGCTGTTGAAGCTAACCACAATGATGGTAGTAATGTCTCAACAGAGCACTCAAAATCCACTTCTCTCTGGGTTGAAGCTGCACTGGCCACTGATCTTGAGATTGTTTCACTTCTAACCCATCAGAAAAATGACCCTCCATCTGCTCTGCAGAAAAGCTTGTCAAAAAGACAGTTTGTTAACGCAGCTGCCAAGAATCAGCTTAAGGCTGATCCATCGCTGCATTTGGACCATACTATCACTGGGGTTTGGAGAAGGGGTCAGGGAATGGTAGAGACGGTGCATCTAGCCAAGAATTTGCAATCAGAGATGAAAAAATGGTTTGTAGGTTTTATCGAGGAGTCCTTGGATGCTGGTTTCCGGGTGCTTGGAGAGTCCGCAACTGGTGGGACTAAAGCATTACCTATAGATTGTGGCTCCATAACCTCAGTTTTGTCCCAACTCAAGCGGGTGAATGATTGGTTGGACCGAACAGTTTCAAATGGAGATGATCAAACGCTTACTGATAAGGTTGAGAAATTGAAGAGGAAAATCTACAGCTTTGTAATTCAGCATGTGGGGACAACTTTTGACAATTCCATGCATCTCTCCTCATCTTGATTGTCATCTGCGTATTAATTTTTGGTAATTCTTCTTTGTTTTCTTGTACTTAAACAAGAATAACCCTTTGTTATACTTTCACTTGGGAAATTGAAGATTGTTTCAGTTTAAAAAATGATGAAGATGTTCCTCTTTTACTAACCCAGGTAACCTTATTTTTGGTTCATCAGATGTTAACTTGTCCTCTCTATCCCTTTTATAGCAATTGCTTATACACATTTTGTCCCAAGTCCCAACTATTTTTGTTTTTGGGGCTTCAGACCTTTCTGATTTCCCATCCTATTCAAGGGCCATCCTAACTAGAGCCAACCCCTAATTTCCCACCATACTCAGATGCCATCACAACTCGAACCAAAGGACCTCTATTTTAAAAAAGAAGATTAACACAGGCTACAATGTTATTCAAACCAAATTTGCGTCTAGTGTTGCAAATTCTCTGCAAAGATGCAACGACCTCCCAAACTCCAGTTAATAAGGTTCATCTTTAGCACACCAGAATTTGATCTCAGAATTCCCTAGAAAAAGATTCAACTCCTTATTAATTTAATGTCATCTTTTGCCCTTAACCTGATATACTTTTTAATAAAATGAATACAAAAAAGGTATTTTTGTAATATAAATTATATTAAATTATAAAATA